TTCAGTGAGTCTCCTGGGGGTGGAGATGAGGGCAGAGGAAAGAGAGTAGAAACCAGTTCGAAGCAGCTAGTCAGGGTACTGTTTCCAGAAGGAAGTCAGTTCTGGGAAATTCTGTGCACAGAGTCCAGGGACATTGCCAAGCTGGAATTCAGGTGACTACAAGGAGAGCGGTTTTGGCTGGAAACAAAGGGAAACCCTGGACCTTAAGAAGACCTAGCTTTCCCAAGGGGCTAGGGAGGCTGAAAAAAGCAGCTTTGGCTTCAAACTGGAGGATGGAGTCTGGACAGACGGAATGACTGAAGGGGTCAATGGCCACTATTCCATTGTTCCCCCCGCCACACACACATAAAAGGATTAAGCAATTAAAGGACCAGCAGGTAAAAAGGTGAGATGGGGAAGCTAGAACTTGCTTGCAGTCTGAATGGAGTACCATGGAGCTGTGCACATGGACCTTCTCGAATGTGTATAGTTTGCATGCTGGGATCTTCTCAAACTACAGGTTTCTATTTGGGCAGTTAATTGTGGCTCTATACTACAACAAGCATGCAGAAGGCAAGTGTCGAAATGAAGAACTAAGTAAAAAATGCGTGGTGTTTTCTATAAGTGCAGTAGTTACTCAGAGAAGAGTCTCTAGAGTCCTGGGCAAAGAGACAACCTTTACCTGGTAGTTAAAAGATGGCCAGGAAGAAAGAAGAGTTGGCATTGTTGATGGTGGGGAAATCTCCAAAGCAAAGCTGTAGGAATGCACTCGTTTAAAAGTAGAGGCGACTGCTTGGAAAGTAATGAGAACTAAAGTAGAATTTGTCAGTGTTTCCCAACCTTTCAACTTCATGCCACTCACCGAAGAAAATGGTAATAATAGTATGGGGTGAATAGAGGCAACCAGCTTGGTGGCACTTCGACCTGAACCTAATTGAGGCACACCAGTATATATGGCCCCATTGGTTGATAAACTCTAGAATAATGAGTAAGGAATCAGGTATAGCAGGCCCTGGAGTAAACCAGATAGAGATCTTCAGACTTGATTTGGTAGAACATGGAAAAACAATGTTGAAATTTAGAGAGGAACATGAAATGTTAAAAATAGTGCTTTAAGAAAAAAACAACAACTGCATTACCTAGGATGGATTGGAATAGGTGATGAGTTGAGAACAGAGGACAGATGATACTTTAATAATAAAAGGGGTAATACTGTTTTGTGCAGTTAGTGATTCAGCAGAGGTACTTCTAGCCTCTGAATATTACTAAAACCATCATTTTTAAAAGCTTGAAATAAATTTTAAAATAAAGTATTAGTAGTATGATTTCTTCTGGTCACGGTTTGAATGATGATGATGTAACATTCAAGGTATCCTATTGTTAACTTAAAAAATGAAAAGAAATTAGTTTGAATCAATTAAACAAACATTGCATTCATAAATATGTTTCCTACTACACATAAGCCACAAAGCTAGATGCTGGGAAAACAATAATGAAAAAGACGGGTGATATGGAACCCCCAATCTCAACAAAAGCCTAAAAAAAGAAAGCATCCAGGCTATTAGAATGTAGTAAGCACTGTCACAGAAGCCTATACCCAGAGGAAGATGCAATAAATTCTGAAGTGGAGGGTATAAATCCTTTGATATCTTAGGTGGACCACGAGGAATGAATATGATCAAATAGACACAGAGAAAGGAAAAGCATGAGCAGAAAAAGTGAAGTTGCACAATTTGTTCTTTTCCTAATGTGGCTAGTATAATGTGGGTGGGGAAGGGGCAGGGGAGGGGCGAGGAGAGAGTATTAAGAGATGAGTCTGGAAAAAAGTAGAGCCTCTGAAACTTGCTATCTCTCTTGGTGGAGCATAGCATGCGTACCAGTTGCTCCTAGAGAGGCACTGGGGTGTGTGCCCAGGAGCACAGGCTCTGGCACCAGAGAACCGGGAATAAAGTCATAGCTCCCACACCTGCTGGCTGAGTGACCCAGGACAAATTGCTTAATCTCCCCATGTGTAAAATATGGGTAACAATGTGGTCCTTTCAAAGTCGTTGTGAAGAGTAAATGAATAAATGCATGAAAGCACCAAGAACATGGCCTGGAACATTGAAAGTTGAAAGTGGTCACTAAGTGCCAATGATTTATTATTATTTTAACATTATCAGCAATAACATGTCATTATTAGGGTTCTCGTGTTAGGGAGATACAATTTTAAATCTGAGCTTGTCTTGTTCATGGATGTACTGCCTGATTTTGTAGGTTCTGTGAGGGGAGGAACTTGCTGAAATATCCTTCTCCAAAACATCTCAGAAGTATACTCATCCACTGCAATACCCAAGACTCTACCAGCAGAAAATCGTTCAGGTTTTGAGGGTTTTAGGAGTTCTTTAAAAATGTTAATACTTAAGGAAGAGAGAACACTTTTTTTTGAGCCATAAGCACCTCAGCATGGGTTAGTTAACCGCACCAGGCAGGAGAGAGGGCTGAGCCAAGGACATGCAGTGTTGGACAGGTGAGAAAGAAGTTTCCCACTTAGAGTGTCCCTGATGGAGGACGAGGCCCTAGGTGGAGTCTTTGGGGCCCTTTGGAAGCTAGAGATCATCTTAGTCTTAAGAGGGGAAAAGGGAATTTAGCTGGACAGGAAAGTGGCCTAAAGGCCACAAGATTGTTAACTTCACAATATTGTTCAGGGTCAATCCTGTTAATAAAAAGGGTTGCTCAAATGGCTTAAAGAAAGCTGCAGTCAAGTCCGGCTGATTTGACCCTCCCTGTTTAAAAAATGTGAAGGTTATAAGCCCTAGTGCATTTTATGTAAAATGATTATTGATACTAATATAGAAGAAAACATCCATATCTACATTTCCCTTTTTTGTTTGAAGTTAAAGCTGGCAACAGCCAGAATGCATGACTCTCTTGGGCTGCTGATTTCAAGGTTGCAATTGTTTTCCTAGTGATGTGGGGGCCTGTGCCAAGTCATTGCACATCTCCGAAACTGCTGGTAGCGTTTCCCCCTAGAGAGGAAATAGTTCATTGGAGCTTCAGAGCAGAAACCAGCACAGGTAGGTGAAATGTTTTTATAATTGCCACTAGGAAAAAGAGAGGGCCCAGGGGGACTCTTCTGCCCAAGGGAGCCCCTCCCTGGTTATAACCTAATTTGCTGTGTGTATGTGGACCAGATGGGTGGAATTAAATCTTCTAAGGTGTTGCGGTTAGATTGTTTTCAAATGTCTGGAGACTCCAGGAAACATGAGAAGTCCTCTTTCTCTTTCAAAGGACCATCGTCTTGTGGTTCAAATGTGGGCTTTTGAAACAGAAACTATAATGTCTGTGGCTATAGGGTAAGGTCTATTTGTTCCCCTACTGGGGTGTACATGAAGGCTCTGAAATTTTTGGCCTCATGTTTGTGCTTGATAAAGATGGCTTTAAGGCAGCAGGATAGGGGACTGGAAGCTAATTAGTCATGGAAGAAGGTCTTTGCTTTCTACAGATCAGTCCACCCTGAAGAACTGGCCATCCTGACCTTCCTGTTATAGTGATTCAGAGCATTTATACATCTCTCTGCCCATGGTACAGTGAAAATAAGCTACAGAAAAATCGCAGGAGGCTACCTAAGTGGTTAAAGGAGGCAGGGCAAAAAAGTTGTAGAAAAGGCAAGAGGCAGGTATTGTATATAAGGTGAAAGAATACAAGATATACAACTAAAACAAACTTTGAAATACAAGAAATAAATATAAGCATCACATAGAATTGTCTCCTGAAGAGGTCAGCCCAAATACAGTTTCTTGTCTATTACAGGAGCTGAATTATCTTGAAATGGAATGTTTCTGTGATCAGAAAGTTAAGAAGATAACCCTCCTCCCACACCCTTGGCACAAAACCAGGGCATATCTATACCTGGAACACAATGTGTTATACTGTGTGCCGAGCTTTAAGAAAAGTCTAACAAGATTGGAGTCAGTCGATAGAACACCTGAAATGATCAAGGAGATTAGGGCTTCGATATCCTTTCCATGAGGAGCTACTGAAATAACAGAATTCTGCAGTGTAAAAAGTAGAAGGATGATGTTATAGCTGAATTGTGTGCCCCCAAGATTGGTATGTTGAAGTCTTAATGCCCAGTACCTCATAATGCTGCTATATTTGGATATAGGGCCTTTAACACATTAACTGCCATGTAAGTTGTGTTTAACTCACACTAGTTTTGAGCCCGGGGCTTTGTGAAGCATATGTAACTCACACATCTCTTTACCTTGAGCCATGTGAACTATTTTTCAAGTTGCATATAACCCATACACAGAAAACAATAAAAAACAGCACATTTTTTCATTAAATTAGAAAGGGTCATTTTGTTTTCAAAGTTTTTATTCTATTTTCATAATAAAACATGTGAGCCCAAGAAAAAAATTTTTTTCTAGTGTGGCAGTCAATGTGTTAAAGAGGTAATTAAATTATAAATGGGGGTCATTAAGGTGGGCCCTAATCTAATCTGACTGGTGTCCTTATAAAAAGGGATTAGGAGAGAGACATATACCCACACATCCACCCAACCACCCACCCCAGACAAGTAAATGCACAGGAAGATGACCAGGCGAATACCCAGTGAGCCAAGGTAAAGCCAAGGAGACAGGCCTCAGAGAAACCAAACCTGCCAATATGATCTCTGACTTTGGCCTTCAGAACTGTGAGAAAATAAGTTTTTATTGATCAAGCCACCTAGTCTGTGAGATTTTGTTATGGCAGCCCTAGCAGATTTATACAGATGAGAACAGATATGAGCAAATGATTTAGAATTATGAAGGGTCTGGAAAAGGATGTCATCATCTCAGGATACCTCTAGGTCAGGGTTTCTTAAAGCAAGGTCTGCATAATACCCGCATCGGAATCACCTATGATCCTTTGTAAAAAGCAAGTTCCCAGGTCCACTAGACCTAGAGTATTAAAATGGTCTGGTTTGAGGCCTAAGACTCTGTTTCCTTGGTAGATTCCCCAGGTGATGTTTTTGCACACTAAAGCTTGTGACCTACCATTCATGGTCCTGTCCAACCTCTGGCTCTTTTCTGGGCCTGGTCCTAATTGTATCTCATCAAGTGCCAGGTGTGTCTGCTGTTCTGGCAGATGTTCCGTGATCCAGGAACCAGTTGTAAATCCCTTTGTAAGCTATCTCCCTCCAGGTGTCAGCAAGTGTTTACCCTGCATGTGGGAAAGCAGAAGGAGATGGACCAAACGGAATCCTTAGGGGAGTTTACTCTTGATTCTGGAAAGAAATAAGCGCCTCACTTATCTTGCTTACTTAAGAATATAATGACATATTTTGAATAATAATCTACAGTACATATATTATTTCACTCATGAGATTTATTTAAAGATCTTATTACCTTGGCACCAAAATTAACACAGAAGATGCAAGGAATAGAATGGGCATATCTGACTTTTCTGTTGCTACGTATCAGTTGAGCTTATATGGAAAGTTCCCTGACATGGCCTGTGCCATTTTATGCTCTGTACCATTAAAATATAATATTAATGAAATAGATAAATAACATATAAATAAAAATAAGCTAATAATAAATGGAATGGAATCTAATAAATACTTAAGATAAGCTCTGTGTTTTCAGTTATTTCTTCATCACCAAAGAGAATGGAAACAGAAAATATTCTTCCGCATGGCATTAAGTGAATTTTCTTTCCTTCACCTGTGGACCAAAGAGGAACTGAAGTTAGAGAGAGAAAGAGTTGAGAGCCCATAATAAACGTAGTGATGAACATTTTCAAAGTAGGCAGAATAGGTTGCCTTCTGATTCAAACATGGCAGTTCCCTAGGAGTGTAAAATCTGCCCTACCCCCCATTTACAAGTGTGATTAAGGGACATAGATTTTATACGTTGGGTTTCTTAAAACTGGAATTTGGGCAGGTCATTGGGCTATTTCTCTGTTTCAGGCGGTCCAGCGTTTGAACCAGAATATAGTTATGGTATCCCAAGAGTAACCAGGCCTGTCTAGGCAGTCCCAGGGCCACCGGTTTCTGAGCACTTAATGCCAGGCACTTGGTTATTCCCTTCTTGACTAACCAAATTTCAATTTCTCTGTGTAAACCATTCATTCCCACCAGACTCCTTTTTTTAGGGAGTGGGAAGGGAATGAATGGGATATTGAAAGTGTCATTAATGTTCCAGGTGCTTTCCAGAAATAAGAATTCTGGTGCTCAAAAGACTTGATTTAAAACTCTAGACCTTGACACTCTGGAGAGATTCAGAAGAAAAGCCATGAGTGCAAATGGGTTTCATTAAGAATGAAAAAAGGACATTCAGTCTTCAAGGAGGCAGTTTCCCAGTTTGGGCAAACAGTGCTCTAACAATGCAAAGCGGCCGTTTGGGCTGAAAAGGGGTTCTCAATTTGAACCAGAGCGCTCCTCGTGTGGTGTAAGGATTGGTGTTTGTTCCTAGACCGTTCCGAGCGGCCCTTTCCCGGATTCTGGGCTGACTGAGGTCCTGGCCTAGCGGCCGGGAAGCCCCAGGGGGCCTGACCCGCGGGCGCAAGGGTCGGGGGTGCGGGCGGCGGCGGCACAGGCGGCCCGGCGAGCGGGCCCGCCGCCGCGCGTTCATTAGAGGGCGCTCTGGGGGCGGCTCTGCCGCAGTCCGGACTCCCGCCGCTTCCTCCCGCCGCCCCTCCCCGCCAGCCCGGGCGAACGCGGCCGGGCCCTGGGGACCGAGTCTCGGCGCCGCCGGGGACCGGGCGCGGGCCGCGCCGCAGCCAGAGCGGGGCCGGGGCCCACCGCCGACTCCTTCTTCCGCCGGCCCCGCCGCCGGCCATGCATTCTTCCGGCTCCTCTGGCTCCCGCAGCCCGGGTCGGGGCCCGGCCAGCCCGAGGTAACCTCCGGCTCGGCGGACGCAGGCCCCGGCGCGGCGGCGGGGCCGGGCCCGGGGAGGCGTGGGGGCGGGGAAGGGGTGTCGTCGTCGCGTGGCCCGGGGCGGCGGCGGCGGCGGCGGCCTGAGGGACGAGGGCGCGGTAGGCCCCGGGGAGGAGGCGGGGGCGCGGGGCATCCACCCGCCTCCCCGGGACCCGCCCCGGTGACAGGTCCGGCCTCTGAGTCCCCGCCGTCCCTCTGTCCGCAGGCTGCCGCGAGGGGAGTAGGGCGCCCGCGCGCCCGCTCGCGCCGCGCCTCGGGCCGCCTCGGCCGCCGCCGCGTCCATGACCGCGACCCCTCGGCGGGGGACGCCCGCCCCCGCGCTTCGCCGCCGCCTGCAGTCCGCGCCCGCCGAGGTGAGCCGGGAGCGCGGGCCGCGCTCGCCTCCCCGACCCCTTCCACACCCGCGGAAACCGCTGCCGGCTCCACCCGCCCCCCGCGCTGCCGTCGCCTCTTCTTCCCCGCTTCTTCCATCATCCCTCGCCTCCCCGTCCTCTGGTCGGAGACCTAGTTCTCTTCATCCCCGGCCCCTTGGCTCCTACCTCTTGCTCCCCTCCCCCTACTCCCGACCTTCCTCTTTTTCGCCGTATAACCCCCCACTTTCTTTCTCCCACCTTTTAAGCTCTCTTTTCTAGGCCCCTCTCCTTTATTCTAAAAAAAAAAAAAAAATCCAGAAAGAAAGGAAAACAAAAACCCTATTGCTGCAAATGAGAAATGTGAGCTAACTCTTTTCGCTAACGCCGGGGACCTTTGAAAGGAATGCATCCGTGTGCAGGAATGGGAGCGGGTGGTGAGGAGCCCGAGGTGCTCAGTGTCTGGGAAATGTGACCGAGAGGTCTCCGTTTCGGTGGTTTCACTTGTTTCCCTCGTGTCGTCCGTGTGGAGATGACTGAGGGAGTCAAGCAAGTGGGTGTATTTTTCCTCCTTAAAGTCCAAATAGACGACCGACCGCAGTGAGACGCGGTGCGGGGACGGCACGCGCAGTGAGTGGGGATTGTATTATCATCTGCTAAATATATTGTGACATACCGCGTGCCTCGCTGAACAGCTCCCTTGACCTTGTGCGGCTCCTCCTCGAGGCCTCGCTGCCTGTCCCTCTCTGGAATTTCCCAGAGAGATCACCTCAGGTGCTGGAGGCTGTTTCTTTGTGGGTAACTATTTAGATGCGTTTCATCCATTTTCCTTTTTAAGTGAATTTTTCTTTCACCCCAGAAAGACAGGACAGACTCCAAAGTGAGAATGGCTGTGACTTTGGAAGAAGCTCCGTGGCTGGGCTGGATCTTGTTGAAAGCACTGCTGAGATTTGCCTTCATGGTCGCCAACAACCTGGTTGCTATTCCATCCTACATCTGCTATGTGATTATACTTCAGCCCCTGCGAGTGCTGGACAGTAAGCGGTTCTGGTATATTGAAGGAATCATGTATAAATGGCTTTTAGGAATGGTGGCTTCCTGGGGATGGTATGCTGGCTATACAGGTAAGAGTGAGAGCACTTTAGTTTAATGCATATGAAAAGATTTGTCATGTTGTGCTTAAGTCAGGAGCCATGATTAAATATACCTCATATATTATACTTTGGGCCGAAGATGCTTTTATGCTTTGGCTATTGAAAAAATAAATAGAAGACAGTTCTGTCGAGTTTCTCTTCAGAATCTCAGTTAGGAATCTGATGTTTTCAGAAGTGTAGCTTCGTGATTATATGTTGATAAATTCCTTCAATAACATGTTTTTAATGTGATTGACATTCATTTATTAAAACCAGTCTGCAAAAGCTCTCATAGAGGAATAGTGTGTTATATAGGACTTGAGAGCTTATAAAGTTAAGATGTAAGACATGTAGCCCACAAAATTGGAAATTTAGAAAATGAACCGTATTTATGCTAAGATAGTTTAATAAGTTTGTCGTTTAATGTACTATTGTACTGTGTTAATTACATTTTAAGCCAATCAAAAAATGGCTTTCTTTTCTGTTATGTATGTTTCTTTTCTTTACTAGAATCTCTGTTTTATCTCAAATCTGAGAGTATTAAATATGAAAAATTGTTATCTATGTTATGCTAATTTATCTTCTGAGTGTCCTTAAATAGATTTCTATTTCTGCCTTAAATTGCATTTCGAGAAGCAGGAGTAACGCTATTCTGAAGTGGACTTTTATAGCACTAAATGAGAAGTAGTGTTTATTATCTGTTCTAAACCTTATATGCTTTGAGAACTTATGTCTCTGCTGTGAAAATTCTGCATGGCTTATTATATTTGTTTAATTTTTCCTAAGAATTAGGATAATAAAATTCTTAGGAAATTAGGATAATAAAATTAGGATAATAAAATTCTTAGGAAAATTCTTTTCCTAAGAATTAGGATAATAAAAAAATTGAGATTTCTAGCATTTGTCAGACATACAGGCTTTAATTACAGAAATTTATAACTTGTAGGCAGACTCCTTAGAAACCCTGGGGCAGATGCTGTGGTCAGTAGAGTCTGTAAGTTCATAGCTTGGAATAATGAGAAGGGTGCTGTCAGGATCAAGTGCTGTGGCAGTTCTCCATTTAAAATTCTCTGTCTCCCTCTTTCCTGCCCAGGCTGCATCTGCAGATTTTATCCATGCACACAAGAAAAGGACTGACAGTATACAGCTTTTATGGAGTCTAATAGACTCTTGCTATGTCTGAGTGTTCTCAGTTGCCCCATATGAAGCCTTTTCTCCTTCTGGCAGTGCCATTTATTATTATGCAAGAGCTGAAGCCCCTGGGATAGTATATGCATTGCTACCTTGTCACCTGTCTTGTTGTGATTCAAATGCTCTTTGGATACAGTAAGTGAGCTTCTAGTCCTTTTTGAGGACCTGATGGTAGCAGTAGCAGTGCTAGAGAAAAAATGAAGTTCTAGTCTGTGGTGCTGAATTCTCACTTGAATTGTACTGCTGTCTTAAGATTGCTTTGCCTGGTATAGTTTTGAGCATTCCCATATATGCTATGTGGTACTAGTGGCTTTGTTCTTTCTATGGTATACTTAAGTTTGTTTGTTTTAAATGAGCTCATAGTATTAATATTTTCAGAAACCAGTTCTAGAAGTTCATTCTACTTAAACACAATGAAATTACTGAAATTTTTGTGCTTATGTGTATGTTATATTTATGTATAAGTGTTAGCATGATGAGAAAGTGAGAAAAATTAATTTGGCACTGACCTTCAGGTCCTAAAGAGTGCAGTGGTGCGTTTGAAGTTAGTTATCCTATGGCCATAACATGGCTGTAGCATATTTTTAAGCATATTTTTCTTGGGATGTCTCTTCCTTGCTGACTATAGAACTGTGTGGTTTCTTTTGCCACCTGCTTGGGAAGTGGTCTTGGCACGATCTGCATATTTTAGTCTCTATGAAGCATCTGCTCTTCTTCAGGCTACTGCACTTTGACAATTTGATCAGTTTGTCTCATTTAAATATAGAATATTTTATGTGAATATTTTAAATCATTTTCCTATAGGTAGAATACTTGATTTCATAGGGTCTGATCAGAGTCTCATTGTGATAGAACAAGAGGTCAAACAAACATACGAACAGATTTTGTTGGAAGCCACAATTGGGTTTAAAGAAGCAAACTTAAGCAGGGGTTAATGAATAGGTGTACCCATTAAAGCGTTTCAGGGTTATATTAGTCTTTCTTTGGATTATGTATTTCATTCTTCCCTTTGTAACAGTAGGAAGGTAGGCTTGTTTAATTTTTTTTTCTTTTCCTATGCCTAAGTTTCACAGATGGAAAATTGAATGTTGCCAAAGGAATTTTGCCCAGTAGATTTGGTATGTTCATGTTTTTAGAATAAAAATTGCCAAAACTTTGGTGAAAAACCACTTCTGAGGAAACCTCAAATATTAATTAGGAAGCTGAAAATTGGATATTGGTATAGATAGAATATGATATTTTCAAATTATGACATTCAGTGTAAGAAGAGTCAATTTCTCAGCACTGTTGCTGAGGACTTGTGTTGATTATCTAACCTGTACTGCCCCATATGGTAGCCACTAGCTGCATGTGACTGTTTAAGTTTAAATTGATTAAAATGAACTAAAATCTAGTTCTTTGGTTTTTACCAACCACATTTGAAGTGCTCAGTACTGGGTGGCCAGTGGCCACTGTATTGGACAGCGCAGTTATAGAACCCATCCATCATCACAGAATGCTCTATTAGACAGAGCTGATAAATAGTGAGTATGACTCTCTCCCTTTTCTTAGGAAAATTGCATTTTTATCCTTTAAAAAGAACATCTTTCTCTAGTGCTAAACAGATTTCTTTTGGGAAAGACAGGAAGATTTATTAACGTTTTATAAAGTCATCTCTTAATTTGAGGCAAACATCACAAAATTGAGTCCTTTAAACTCAGACATGCTTCTTGGATGGGAAATGATGAAGCTAGTTAGTTAGCCCAAGAACTTAAATGAACATTCTTGTACTTTAGTTTGCATTCTTAGACCTGGAGAACTGCTTGTGGACACAGAGGATGGAAAAGGGATGTTCTGGTCTTTCTTCCTGTCTCTGACTCTAAGTCTTGCCAGGGGAACACATTTATTAAAAGTACACATTTATTAAAGCAGACATTGGGATTTGTTGATCCCCAGCTTGCTACTTAGGTAGCGATGGTGGTTGCTGTCACATTTCCTTCAGTGGGAACTGTACAGACATCTCATGTGGAAAAGTTTTATATTGCCTTTGCCCTAGTATTTAAAGGGCAAACCAAAAGAGATGCTGTTTAACTAATGATCTACTGATCTACTTCTGCATGCTTTATTTGGATCTGGGATAAATCAATATACTTCTCCCACCCCCAACACACACACACACACACACACACACACACACACACACACAAAACACAATTTAAGTGAAGATTGGCAAATTTCAGAGAGAGATTTTTGTACCAAACAAAACGTGTTTATTTAAAATAGTTTATCTTGATTTTCATTTACTTATTTTATAAAGTCATTGCCTTCCAAACACATTTAATTAAAGTCTCTGTACATGAAATACTTTAAAAATATTTATTGCAAGTAGAAGCTCTAGAATTTCTGTATAGGATGAGAGTCTTAAGGGCCAGATTCTGGCTAGAAGAGAGCTGGATGCCAGGGACTTGCTGCCAAGCTGTTTTGTTTAGCAAATGCTGTTTTCCTTAAACTGAGTATTTACTGGGGAGGCTTTGGGGAAGCTGATGGAGATTAGGTTTAGTTTCCTCCCACTCCATAAGTGGCAGCTGCCATGGCTGTTTGTTAGTCTTTGTGACTTATTTAATTACTTGACAGTGCCTTTTTTTTGGTGGGATACAAATTCATGGTATGAGAATTAATTTTTAGGAATTCTATCTGACTTTGAAATTCTAGAGAAAGTTTTAAAAAAAATATATCTTTTAGAGCAATATTTTCAACCTTTTAAAAAAATTTCCGAATATTATGGGGGTACAAATATTTTGGCCACATAAATTGCATGTGTACCACCCAAGTCAAAGCTACACGTGTGCCCATCCCCCAGGGAGCATGCACTGCACCCATTAGGTGTGAATTTACCCATCCCCTCCTTCTCTCCCACCCGCCCAATCCCTGATAAATGTTACTTCCATATGTACACGTAAATGTTGATCAATTAGTACTAATTTAACAATGAGTACATATAGTGTTTGTTTTTCCATTCTTGTGATACTTCACTTAGAAGAATGGGCTCTAGTTTGGTTCAAGTTAATATGAGAGGTGTTAGGACACCATTTTTTTAATGGCTGAATAGTACTCTATGGTATACATATACCATATTTTATTAATCCACTCTTGTATTGATGGGCACTTGGGTGGTTTCACATCTTTGTGATTGTGAATTGTGCTGCTATGAGCATTTGAGTGCAGGTACCGCTTTTATAGAATGTCTTTTTTTCCTTTGGGCAAATACTCAGTAGAGGGATTACTGGATCAAATGATAGTTCTACTTTTAGTTCTTTGAGGTATCTCCATACCACTTTCCATAGAGATTGTACTTGTACTAGTTTGCAGTCCCACCAGCCGTGTATGAGTGTACCTATCTCTCTGCATCCATGCGAACATTTGTTGTATTTTTCAATCTTTGAGTCATAAAACCAATTTAGTGTGTCAAAATGAACATTTAAAAAATGTGAAATAAAATAGAATTAAATAGAAGAGATCAGAAATATGTGTATCTGTACTGAGTAGTGCTACAGAATGCATTTTTTACTGTGAGTGCAGTCAACATTTGAAAGGCATTGTCCTAGCGGAAAGAGCACTGCAATTTAGCAACATTGTGAGAGTCGGTGGTCTTGATCTATCTTTAACATCTCTACTCACTAGTAGGGGTGAGATCCTTACCTGCTCGATGCCCACTGGGTCCTCTTTGTAACCCTAGAGCCTTAGTTGTTACCAGATGCTCTCAGAATACTCAATAAATGTTTATGTCCAGAATGAACCCTCTTTTGGCCCCAGCTGAGGTT